TGATTCTAGAACTGTAGTCTCACATGTCCTTATAGCTGCTCACTCCTGGCAATAGCGCGGGCTTGGAAAATCAGAACCTCCGTCACTCAGCGTAGTTGTACAAATATTAAACACGCATGTCCATTTTGAATTTTTGTTTGCAAAAGCTAATATGAAACTCCGCAATTTCAACTTACAATGGGCTTGCTGGTTGTCAGACAACAGATGCCTGACTCATTTATTATGACCCCAACTAATACTCCTAACAGTGTTAACAACAAAAACACAAAAACAAAAAACAAAAACAAAACAAAAAAAATGCTTTTATGTATTATTAGTCACTTCTTAGGCCTGCACAGTTATCACATGCTTTTTATTTGTTTTCGAGATGGTTGGAAGAACTCTTCCTCCACTTACTGTCCTGAATATGTACTGCATTAGGGCTCTCTCCTATAGAGGTATGCTTCTATATATGACTACTTCTTCCAGTTATGGCACTTGCTAATTACTTATTAAGGCTGCAATTTCACTTAATTTTGACTTCTTCCATATACCTGGAACACTGCTTTATAACAATATAACATACCATTTACCTTATATATACTGATTTTGTTTATGTATTTATAGCAAGATTTTATTTTCTATATGTCTGTATCTATGTTGTATTATTTTTGTTATTATGTTCTATTGACAAAACCTAATAAATTCATTGTTAGAAAAAAAGAATTTGTTTTTGTTTTTCTTATACACGACCAATCTGTGACACCGAGTCATTTATATTTGGATTGGTGTCTTTGAATAGATTGTCACATCACTAAGAGGTTTGTTTGGACAAACCATGTACACTTAGTACACAGAAACACCTAATCAATACACCGGCTGGTGATTGAAAACCCTTTTCCCACACCTGATTGTTGTATTGCACAATTATTACTGAGGTAGTGACTACCGAGATTTATAATTTTTTCACAGTAGAATCTGAACTTAGTAACTTCTTCACGTCCTATAGAGTACACAAATTTTTTTATTTATATTTGTCGAGACCGAGCGCAACTCACTTGCGATATAATAAGTTCACTCACACACATAGTTGCGGCTGGTCGAATTAATTATTTAGTTATTTAGTTTTCACACCTAGCGCAGTGATTCTTGAATAGCTACTACTGTACCCTCTCTTTAGAAATGCCAGATACTTTGCAAAACCAGTGCCATGGGTGCATCCCTTATGAAATATCTTGCTTCTGCTTTCAGCATGTAAAACATAATCCTTCTTTCCAAATACTGCATGCATGGGCAGACGGAAGAGCTAATAACAATGACAGAGGATCAGGTAAGTATTTCTTCTTTATTCATCCCCTAATGAAAAAACAAGTTAACCCTTGCAGTGCAGGGGGATTTCTCCTTTAATTCAATTGGAACTCTTTTCGAGCAGGTAACCCTTGCAGTGCGGGGGGATTTCTCCTTTAATTAAATTGGAACACTAGGCAATCAGCTAATTTTACAACTAAAGTACATTTGTGTGAACAGTCTGAGAATGATGCTGGAAATCTGTTCAGTTGCAGCACTGTCGGTGACCTCATTCTTCTCTACCGCAATCTAGCAATATACCTTGGTCACCACCCCTTCCCTAATAAATAGATTAAATAGAGTGAGGCAGGGATCGGCAACCTTGGCACGCCAGTTGTTGGGGAACTGTGGCAGTCCCATGAGGCATTGCAAGACTCTGAGAGTCACAGCCACTTCCAGAGGTATGATGAGTTGTAGTATCACCATGGCACTCCAGCCAGGGTGAGGTTGCCTACTCTTGGAGTAGGGGCAGTGCTGAGGTTGCCTACTCTTGGAGTAGGGGCGTTGCTGAGGTTGCCTACTCTTGGAGTAGGGGCAGTGCTGAGGTTGCCTACTCTTGGAGTAGGGGCAGTGCTGAGGTTGCCTACTCTTGGAGTAGGGGCAGTGCTGAGGTTGCCTACTCTTGGAGTAGGGGCAGTGCTGAGGTTGCCTACTCTTGGAGTAGGGGCGTTGCTGAGGTTGCCTACTCTTGGAGTAGGGGCAGTGCTGAGGTTGCCTACTCTTGGAGTAGGGGCAGTGCTGAGGTTGCCTACTCTTGTAGTAGGGGCAGAGCTGAGGTTGCCTACTCTTGTAGTAGGGGCAGAGCTGAGGTTGTCTACTCTTGGAGTAGGGGCAATGGCATAGAACTGGAGGAATAGTGAGCCATACTGTGTAGGAATAGAAAACAGCAGAGGAAAGGAAACAGTACAACTGTTCATCACTTTACAAATCTTTGGGCAGGTAAAACAGCTCTATGTGTTTTTCTTATGTCTTTAGCTCTTGAGGGAGTTGCCCTTTAGCTTTCTAAGCAAGTATTATGATTTTTAGATTATAGCTATATTAGAAATGTCAACTGTCTATAATGAGCTGCAAATTTGAGCTTGTTATGCTCTGTGAATCAGTCAAGCGGATCTCCACTTTCTCACCTTCCTCTTAACAGATGAAAATAACAAGAGACAAAGTTTAGACGACGAGGGTGGCCGAGTCCAGATCTCTGTACGATTTTAGGGCGAGATTGCAGATCACAGAACATGGAGGTCAAAGCCCCACACGTGTCATGCTATGCTGTGGCCACTTTGTTCCTGGTGGCCCTCTCAGGTGAGTGCTTAAAGAAGTGGTGGGCAATTTACTGGATGTGCTGCAGATAATGTGCAGAGTCTGGTGACATACTGCAAGATATTGCCACTCTAGGGGGCCTCAAATACGGACCCTGCCATTCCCAGGGGGCCCCACAAATTTGTGTGTGTGTGTAT